CTTTCATCTTCCAGTTCATCCTTTACAGATTGAATTGCAGCACTAATCCGATCTTGTTCTTTGCTCTTCCTAACTACTTTGTCTTCTGCAATCTGCTTCATCAATTCATCTATCTCACATCGATCAGCTCGCTGATCTTGAACCAACTCTTTGATCCTGGCACGTGCATGGTCTAGCTCCTTTTTCAATGCTTTCACCAGTGAAATATTGGATGCATGCTGCTCTTCCAGGCTCCAGATTCGATTCAATACTTTTAGCAGTTCTGAAGATGTTTTGAGGCTATAACTCGTCTCACCAATCTTTTCCTTGAAGTCTATAGAACTGGTAGGTGTAACAGCAGGGTGATAACGTGCTACCTGCAAGAGGGAAGCAAATGAAGCTACCTGGGAGTTTTAATAGCAGGAAGTGTTTGTCAAAAAGACTTACAGCACAAGAGCAACACTTATGTGACTTTAAAATATGCATCAGCTGTAACATTCTGCCAGGGCATAGTGGGAAATTTGAATGGTTAGTGTCCTTAACATACCAGTTAGGGAACAAAGCCACAAATGCAAATAGGAACATCAAATAACACTAGCTCGTCAAGAATATGCTCTTCGCAAGCTATTACATATTTCTGTTTATTGTTAGCTTGGATAAGAAAAATCAATGCAGTGGCCGGAGGCGGCCCAACTGAATTAACTAGTATCCACTCAAAACCAGCTAAGAAGCAAACAAGTGAGAATTAAAAGGAAATTAGGGTCTCTTATGTTAATTCATATTATCCATGACATCAAATAAAAGTGTGCACCAGGACAAAAGCAAACAGAAGACCTTGATGTACTATGTATACCTCCATGGAACTCCCATAGCTTGCAGGAGATACTGGTTGTATAGCATGACTGTTTCTTTCAATCAATTGATGATGTTGCATCAATGATGCAGCAACATGCCTCCTCAAACTGCTTGCACTTCCAGGCTGCCATCAGAAATCAGAAAGAGATTATTAATTAACTATAACTTTGCACTTTGTTAGCTTTCCATGCCCTATATGTTATTAAGGACAACTGAAAAATTAATATTACAAATCCACCATAACATTCACAGAAGGAATTTCTCAAGCATCATCCACAAAGCACGGGCTTGAACATGACAACTAAACCCTTCACACTATTTCCCTTATGTGACTTGTACAAAAGTTCAATAATTTTTTGAGGGAGGTCGAATGCTATATTTGGCATGCCAACCGGATTGACCTTCTACCTGCTCAAAGGCTTATATCCCTTCTCTTTGTATGCTTAACTATGCTCCTTTGTTTTACCTGGTGGGGTACATACACAACCCTTGGGCTCAACAGTTAGGTTCAACTCTGGTCTCATTGGACACCCAATGAAAGACTAACATTCAATTATGAAACGGGCATATATGTGAGATGAAGCGCACCCATAGACAAGGCTGGATAGACTCTCGTTCCATCATAGTTGGGCAAACCCCGATATCATCATTAGAGATAAGTGGAACCAACATTCAAAGGCAAACTGAGATTAAGATGGTGCTTTCATAGAATAAAAATTGACTCCAAAACCATCCTAAGAAATTAGAACACCAATCCAAATTCAGAAGCTAGAAGACAATTAGCATCCAATGATTAATGCCCCATGCTAACTGAACTCCAAGAAACCTATAAGAACCAATTATGAGAACAGAGAAGAAAAAAAGCAATGAGAGACAACAAACCCATAGCTATGGTTGAATCAAATTCAATGATTTCCAACATGAGGGAGGTCGAATCCTATAATTTCAACAACAAAATGCATACGAGCTACCAAATCGTGCCGTTAGATCAACAAGAGCTACAACCATGGGGTGAACGGGATAAACCCCAATCAAACACAAACATGGAGTATGTGCCTGTCTTCGTGAAAAAAGCATACAAACGAATCAAACCACCCGAAAACTTAAAACGAGCCTAATCAAACCAGCAGCCCCCAAAACCAAAACAACCCACCAATGGGAAAAAAAAACCATGAAATATGTGTGGATCCAATTATCACACCCAAACCCACACACAAGCAAATAATACACCTACCCAGATGAAAACATGAGGCAAATCAAGAACAAAGCCACTCAAAGCCATAATTGGACAACAACAAATAACAAACGAGCCAATCAATCATCACATAATACAGAGAATCAATATTTATGCACGTATACATATATGTATGAAAGAGGTTCAAATTTGTACCAGGTCAGGGGAATTAGGCGAAGGATCGGGGAGTTCAAGACCCTTGTCCTTGTAGAGATGGTGGTGGTGGTGGTGAAGGCGGCGGATTCTGGGAGGCGGACCGGTGACACCCTGGTGCATTTTAGAAAGTGGTAGCTTGTAGTGATGAAGTTCCCAAAGGGTTGCAGCAAGTTTTCTAGCAGAAACAGTGGGCAATTGTAAAGGAGAGACATCAATGATGTTATCTTGCACACCATGAGCCGCTAGTAGTTGTAGTCTCCACGGGGGTAGTGTTGGAGTGGTTTGTCCCCCTCTTTTCCCCACTCTCTTCAACTTTTCCCCCAAATATTCTTGCTTTTCTGCTGGCCCTTCCCCACTTTTTTCTTCCCTTTTCATTTCTCTCTCTCTCTCTCTCAACATACACGTTTGCTTTCTCCTCTGGATTTCAATATTGTTTTTCAGCATGACCCATCACTCTTTGCGTGCTCTTCTTTCTTCGTCAGACGTCTTATACATTGAATTTTTGTACTATTTGTGTTCGTGGTGTATCCTTCCATCTTTACTGTCTTCACGAGAGAAGTTTCAAGGATGGAAGCAATCAATCATTAGTGGGGACACTTATTCCTCGTAGGGGAGGGGTGTAGCTGTATCCCAGGTGTAGTTTTTACAAATTTTCATTTTATTATGTTCTTTTTTATTATTTTGTTACCGTAAAAAAATAATAAAATTAATTCTCATTCCATCATCTTTTCACAATTTTTTTAGAAAAATATTTTAGTTTTTAATTCATTTATTAGACTACTGATTTTTCTATGAAACAGTTTTTTTTTTTTTAAGCATGACTTTCATTGTAGAATTATGTTACGAAAATACGATTTCAAGTTTTTATACTAAAAGTGTATTTTCAAAGTATGCTTTTATATTGAAAGTAGTGTTTTAAAAACACGAATTTGTTGAAGGAATGATGATTTTGTAAATAAATTTGATACCATGATGTTTTATTAAATAATTTACAAAAGTATTGAAAGTCATTTAAAAACTAAGTATATGCAATTGACTTTTATTTTTTCTCCTTTTTAAGAAATAAATGAGGTTACAATATAAATTCCTAACATTTTATCTTTTTAATAATTGTGATTTCGTTTAATCTCATACATATTTGCCTATATTTGGGGGATAGTCGTAAATTATTTATCTTATATCTTAAATAGATATGAGATAAATTATTTTAAAGTGACTGCATTAATAATAACCCTAAGTATTAATTGAGTGGTTAGATCAATAAATTAATTATAAATGTTAAAAACGAGAGTCCAGATGAACATTTCAAGTATTAAGAATCATAAGATATGAAGATGCTCTTCTTCCCCCCTCCTCCCCAACCCACAAAAAAACTCATAAAGAAATATGAAAGTATTTTGTTGCAGGTTTTTCTCCTAAGTAAATCACAAGATGCTAAGATCTACCCCTAGAAAGGAATACAAACAATAGCTTTCGGTGTAGGTGAACAACTCCAACAAGAATCCAAAGACGGTCAATTTTTAGAATAACACCATTACCTCACCTTTGTTATCGGTTCTTGGTGCATGGTCCCTCTCTCTTTTTTTTTTTTTTTTCCGTGCTACATTATCATTTTGAACTCTTTGTCTCTCTCACACACATTTTTATTAACTAACCCACATAATAAATGAATCGTGTTTAAATAAAATACCTTTGTTTAAATTCGACTCATTTAGGCAAATAAAAATCCAAAGAGGGTCAAGTTTTAGAGTAATACCATTACCTCACCTTTGTTATTAGTTCTTGGTGCATGATCCTTCCCTTTTTTTTTTTTGTTTTTTTCGATGCTACATTATCATTATGAACATTCTCTCTCTCTCTTTCTCTCTCACACACACACACATTTTTATTAACTAACCCACATAATAAATAAATCGTGTTTGAATAAAATACATTTGTTCAAACATGACTCATTTAGGCAAATAGGAATCCAAAGACGGTCAATTTTCAGAATAACATCATTTATCTCACCTTTGTTATTAGTTCTTGGTTCATTGTTTTTTTTTGTTTTCTTTTTTGTTTTTTTCGGTGCTACATTACCATTATGAACTCTCTCTCTCTCTCTCTCTCTCACACACACACACACACACACGCACTTTTATTAACTAACCCACATAATAAATGAGTCGTGTTTGAATAAAATACCTTTGTTCACAAACGACTCATTTAGGCAAATAAAAATCCAAAGACAGTCAATTTTTTGAATAACACCATTACCTCACCTTTGTTATTAGTTCTTGGTGCATGGTTCTTCCCTTGTTGTTTTTTTTGTTTTTTTTCGGTGCTACATTATCATTCTGAACTCTCTCTCTCTCTCTCTCTCACAAACACACACTTTTATTAACTAATCCACATAATAAATGAGTTGTGTTTTATTAAATACCTTAACTTGTTTATCACTGATAACATATTTTATGACTTGATTACTAGTTTATCACATGATTACTTGTTTAACATATGGCTATATTTATTGTAAAATTAGGGCTTTTGATTCAAAAAAAATTGCATTGTAAAATTAATGGGTAACACATGTCGGGTCATGTAATCTTTTTATAGATGAATTGTATTAAATTTTATATTTTATACCTATTTAATAATAAAAATTAGAAGTGAGTCATCGTAAAAGTACTTGTTTTGAAATAAGTCATGCAAGGAAACTTATAAGAAGTTAAGTCCATGTTTAAAATTATATGTAATGATTTTAGTCTATATTTTTTTTTAATCTCAAAAATACCCTTCCTTAAAAGGAGATTAAATTAATTTCTTATTTTGGATATAGTTATCCCTTAAATCAATGTTAATTAAAATATGTCAATAAAATCTCTATCATAAATTTAAAATTCAAATTCAAAACTTTCTCTCTCTCTCTCTCCAGCCAGCTAGTGACGTTGTTTCATCAATGTTCATCTTTTAACTTTATATGAATTATGTCAATTTTGTGGGTAAACGGATGAGAATCTCTAGTCCTTGTTAATTTTTTATTTTTTGTAATTTGTGGTATTTTTCGTGGGGGTTAATTTGTTAAATTGAATGTTTCATGTTACTATTTTTTTTATTATGTTATTGTTCATGTTTACTGCTTTTATTAAGTATGTTATTGTTCATATTACTATTATTTTGAGCATGTTACCGTTTTTATTGAACATGTTACTACTATTATTTTTCTAAATATTAATATTCAATGTTACTATTTTTTTTTGAATATTACTATTTTTTGTGTTTGAATGGTATTATTTTTTGCGTTTAAATTTGAGAGAAATAATTATTGGTAATTATGTTACAGTTTTTGTTAAGTATGTTACTATTTTTATTGAACATGTTAATATTTTTGTTGAACTTGTTACTATTGTTATTTTTTAAAAATATTAATATTGAATGTTTCAATATATTTTATATTTAAATGTTACTATTTTTTTTGTGTCCGAATGATAATTTTTTTTTGTATTTGAATATTACTATTTTTTATTTTTAATGTTACTATATATATATACCTAACTTATATATGGATGTAGATAGACACGAGAGAGAGAAAATTTTAATGTTAGTCAAACTCTTAACCTATATATGAATATAGATAGATATGAGAGAGAAAATATTTTAATGTTAGTCAAACTTCTAAGATTTAGGAATTTTTAATTTTTAATTTTATTTTACTTCTAAAAGAAAGAGAGAGTATGATAAAATTAACAAAAAACAGACTTCATAACAATAAGTTTTCTTCACGAATTCAAATCAAAATAAGTCAATATAGAGGTACCACTCTCCAAATTTCACTATTTAATATAAGTTGTATAAGAATTAAGTAATTTTTAATTCGAACTCGTTAAGATTCGACATGGTTGTCGGAGGGTCCAGAAATTAATTCAGCCCATAAATTTTATAGAGTAGGCCGAGCAGAGCCAACAACCAGAGTGTGGCAAGGCCCAATTTTTTTTTTCCAAACAATTTCATGGGCTGTAAGTCTTGGCCCACGGGCTAGAGTTGCTGAAAATAGTATCTCCAGTATTCTCAACGGTCGACTGCCGTTGATTTAGACGATTTAGGAAACAATTAATTTTCTGGCTACGTGCTAATGTGCGCGCACAGTCGCTTGGCCCCGTTTTATATAAAGTCGAGGTGGTGAAGACTTGCACAGAAAGGAAAGAAACAGAAACTCTGTTGTCTCTTTCACTTTTCCCTCTTTTTCTTCTTCATCTCCTTCCATTGTCTTCTTCCCTCCCCAAATTAATTTCGCCTGAGGAATTGAGTTTTCGCCGAAGGAGAGGAGGATCCACATTTTACAGCAGATTATCAAGGTATCTTTCTTTTATGCATAGAAAATTGTTTCTTGGGTTACCACATTATTCGAGCCCCCCTTCTCTATCTCACTCTCTATTTTTTTCACTACTATATTGTCTCTCTATCTCTGTTTGGATTTTTTTTATAGAGAGAGGAAACGAGAAGATGTTGTGGGATCAATTTGAAGAAGCTGACAATGCGTTAAGCAAAACGAGCATGGGATCAAACGAACGAAAAATGATAGATACAAATTACCAGGTAGAGGGAGCCCAGCTCAAACCCTATAATTTGTTCTCTCTCCTTTTCTTTTATATAAGCTCTCCGCAATTGCTTTGTGTGTGTGTTTCGTATGATTTGTCTTTTAAAAAAATCGCTGCATCTGGTTCTTCTCTCCTTCTGTTATCGGTTTTTTTGGTTGGATATATATAAACACGCATATTTATGAGCGTTGAACTGTGTGCGTGTTTTTTTGGTTTTCATTAAAAAGCTTGAAGGAGTGTGACTTATCTATCTTTTCATTGGGTCATTCTAACTTACTTGCCTGCAAAAGGGAATATCCTCCCGCCAATATTCAAGTTTACAGACTCCGGTTTCTAGTATATGTGTGTGTGTGATGGGTCTTGGAGGAGGGTGGCTTAAAATCTCTTTATCTGCCTTTGCCTGTTTTCTAAATGGTTTTCATTTTAATGGATTCATGTAGAACTGTGTTGCTGTTGTGTGAGAATGGGGTCATATTTGAGAAAATTTATTTGATATGGAAAGATTTTGTTAAACAAAGTTTTCTGTATTAATTTTATTTTTGCCTCTTTTTCAGAAGAGAACAATTTTTTTAAAATATCATTGGAAATCAATAAAAGATGTTTTTGGATTCAATACTTGTCTCGTGACGTTGTACGTTCTTATACATCTTATCTTGTAGTGTTATGCTTGGATACTGCATAAGTTGTAATTGTTATGTCAGAGAAGTGAATATTTTCTTTATTATATAATTGGACGAGTCGAATTGAATCTATCTAATTTATTTTTCTTAAATAAATTAAAAAATTATTTAAATACAATTTGTTTAAAAACAAACAAAATCAAGTTGAACTTAAACGAGCGTAAAACGAGTCAAATTCGAGTATTTACATATAAATAAATTGAATATGTTAATATTAATTTTTAAACGAGTTTAAAAAAATATTCAAATTTGATTCATTTTCAAAATGTACTAAAAACTAGGCAAACTTAAATTGAGTTTTAATACTTGGAATCGATTATAAGTCCGGAATGTTCTAATGGTCAAGGTTTGGTTCCGTATCGTAATGGTACCAGCCCTAGATGATGGTGGGAGTTAATCTAATTTCTTCCTTAAAATCTGGAATTTAAATTGTACCGTGAAATAACACAACCTAATTCTCACACTAACCGACATTGGATAACTGGGCATTGCACATGCTTTATAAGCCCAAAACCGTCAAACCATCGGCTATAAGCATTCAGAGACGACCCTCATCTGAAAAACACTCTCCATACTCGGCTTCAAGCCCAAACCTCTGATTTTCAATGGTTCAGTTCCAGGATCAATCGTTCTTGAAATCTGCTGAAAAACACTCTGCAAGACTCATCTTCAAAGCCAAAAATCAAATCTCTGATTTCAAAGATTCGGTTTCATGATCAATCTTTCTTGAAATCTTCTGAAAACACTCACAAAAGCCATTGGTAGTTTCTGATGAAGAATCGATCGGAAGTTCCATAGAATGGCAGAGCAGGCGATTGAGAAGAAGTCGTTTGAAGATGATGATCCGAAGAGCATTGCGAAGAAAGAAGACGTTACGAACGATCCAGAATTCTTCAGCTGTCTGCTTCAGCCTTTGCCTGCGGACTCTAATCCCAATGGCATTGGAATTCGCCATCTTCTCCTCTCTCGTAAAGCTGAGTCTGGTGTTCTTCGCCGCAAGGTACGCTTATATACTCGTGTTATATTCACGCATTAAGGCATGTGTGTGTATGATTGGATCAGTAATTTTACCTTATCTTGGGAAGAAGTTATTGCCGAAACATCAATGCTATGATATTTACTTTTTGTTTATATTTGTATTCAATGTACTTTCAACTGTATTGTTTGGAAGCATCACTGAATTTTTGTTTTTGTTCTGTATAAGCAGTGGCTTAGTGTACTAATTTGTGTGTTGAAGGACTGGAGATGCAATGGAAAAGGATATGTCGCTTATCCTAATTACATTAACAGGCCGAGGAATTGGAAAGTTTACACACACCGAGCCATTCAAGCACTCCTGGATATAGGTCGCAGAGATTTTTACTTAGATTTCAACGAGTATACTGTCATTACTTGAACTCATGTTGAATTTTGAACAAATCTATTTACTTGATTTTACATCATGAAGCGAGAATGTTCGCACGTATGTGCGCATGTCTGGGAAAATATGCACCTTTTGTCGATTAACAATGGCTGATTTATGATAAGTTCAAATTCAATGGAAATAAAAAGTCATAGGATTACAAACTCGTGGTAGAGAGAGGAAGAGATCTTTTTGTCACATTCTATCACCTACGGTTACTTGACTAATGACTTATATCAGTATATGAAATCTTTGACCTTGTAGTTTTCTTTATTTGGAAATACTGCTATTGTGAAGAAGTCTTATGATTACACGTGCAGCTTTCTGATTGATGAGTATTATTTGAATTTATGTTTCCATACAATTCTGACATCAGGGTAATTTACTGGTTGATGCATCAGTGGGCGATGGATGCCATCTTCAAGTCCACTCTCCATTTTGTTAGATGTGGACAGCTGGAGCACTAGCCAGGTATGTGTGATTATATTTTTGATAATTATTTACTAGACATTGTGTTTTCACCTTGAATACCATTTTGTATAGCTTTCAGGAATCTATGCCACATATTTGAATGGTTATAAAAAAGAAAACCAACCGTGGCCATGCAGTATGCACGTGTTCTGAGTTGTACACCCCTTCTTTGTAATATTTTTTAATTCTTCCAAAATCGTATCAAGTCGGACCTGTTGAAACATAAGCAGTCATCAATACATTTCCCATATTGTTCCACGTGGCGGCAAATGAGTAAAGGAGTTGTTGACACTATCAAAATGCTTCACGGACCAAAACCTAGACCCTTGAACATATAGAATGGGTAATAAAAAAATGGCAAAAATTCAGATGCTTTTCCGTGGTACATATTTTGATTCTTAGAGCTAACAAATTGTGATTTTGAACTATCTGCTGATTTTTAATATTGGCTGGTGAAACAAGTGGGTGGTCTTTTATATGAGACAGCTCCAATAAAGGGATTTGAGTGTAAAGCTATATTACCAAAAAAAACGTTATTTCCTAATTTGGTACTCGTCAATTGAAGGTACTGAGAGAGGTAAACTGGTATGTATGTTACCTTTAGAATCATTTAGACAAAGGGACTGCCCTCTAATAAGTTGTGGTTTATAGCCCGGACATTTTACCACTACTACTTAATGGATAAAAGTTTTGCATGTTTAATTTCTTGAAGGGCATTGGATCTGTATATCCTTGTGTGTATCTATATCTGTGTTTTCTAATGGAGTCTTTACTGTTTTTTTTTTGCTTGACTCAATGTCAGACTCCTATTTCCTATTTTTTGCTGGATATCTGTGTGTGTGTGTGTGTGCCACATGTACTTGATGCCCCGCCCAAGAGAGAGTTGTTTGTTGAAATCTTTTGCATCATATGTCTCAAATGGTTCATCATGCAACTCTATATTGAGAACGAACATGTGACATCCTGAATTTTATTATCCTTGTTATGTTAATTTAATCTATACTAGTTTATTTCTTGATATTTGCACTTGATTACTTATTGTTGTGCCTGCTTAAGGTACTAGGGACTGCAGGCTTTATCGAGTTGATTTACTATTTTAATCGTTATTCTTGGGCATTGATTTATTACTCTTGCATATTCATGTGGATTATTGGCATGTAATTCCTGGGTCTTCTGTCTTGTTTGTTTGTTGCATTGCCTTCTGTTTTTCTGAACCGTATTCGTTATTATATATGGTTCTAAACAAATGGTAGTTGTACCAACAAATTTCAGGGTTGTTTAATCTTTCTTCTTTCCATGTAATTATAATATGTTGCATGCTTGTTTTCTTTTCAAGAGCTACAAAGTGGTGGTCAAACATTGAGTCAGAGAATGAACTTCAGCTCAATGGTAGTGATACCCACGTAGAAGGTCTGAACCTGCATATTCTTTTGTGGGGATGCATTGCATCTTCGACCAATGCAAAGCGATGGGTACTTTTGTTAGAGGATCAATATGCTACGGTTTCTTTCCATCGTTCAGTTGTTTATCGATGTAACATACATATTGTTATTTCCAGTTACGGGTATAAAGTTTGGGCACATGAGTTCAGACTTGCTTGCATATGGGGCATCAGATGGAACCTTGGCAGTCTGCATTGTCTCGCAGGCACCTTCAATTATTAAGTAATTAACAGGATACTCAAAAGATTTCACAGGTTGGATTATTGGATTATCTGTTACTGATTCTGTAGACTTTTCTTAGATACTTTCTGAAGTATGTTATGGCTGAACTTCTTTTCTAGTACCCAAATTGTAGATGTTATTTGTGTTGGTTATTTTGCGTGTGTGTGTGTATTTCTGATAGATGTTATATGTGTTGGTTATTTTGTGTGTGTGCGTGTATTTCTGGTGGTAATTTTTTTTGGGTTGTGTACATTTTTGACGCGCTGCTTCATCGTCGCTCCGTCTGCCTCTCTTCTCTCTCTCTCTCTTGCTTTTGCCTCTCTCTTCTCTCCGTTCCCCTCTCTACCTCTTTTCTCTCCATTCTTCTCTATGCCTCTCTTTCTCTCTCCTTCAATGGCGAAGAACACACCTGCGTTGGATACGATATTTGAGATTGGAGAGTCACTAAACACTTTGAGATTTGAGATTTCAGATGTGAGATTTGGGTGCTACTGTTTTCTGGATTGGAGAGTGGATTATAAAGCGAATGCCATTTGTTAACTATATATACTCAGCCTCCAAGCAAATTAGTGCTGCAGTTTCTCCAGGTAAGATTTGCTTAGTCTGTTTCTTATTTGAGAAAAAATATCCTCTTTGCTTAGTGATTCCCTAACTTGGATGAATTGACGGGATTCCAAATGCACATACTTATAGCTTAAGATTTCTGCTTTATTGAGTTCTCTAAAAGTTAATACCTTCATAGTGGGAATATAAAATACAAGATGGAACTGTAAAATAAATCCATGACAATTAAATATCCTCTTATTTGTTTTTTAGTCATTTCATATTAAGGACCTTGACCTTCATGTATCTTTAAAAATCCAATGATTGTGGGTTTGAAAGATTGTTGACTTTTTTTAGGAAATGGCTATGGTTAGTACCTAGGATTTGAGGCACTGGACAATACTATGTTTTGTTCTTGCTTTGTTTTTGTCTTACATATTTGAAATTTTTACTTAAGAATACATGTGAAAATGATCAATGCTTTTATTGTTTACTGCTTGTTATTATGCCATATTTCCAGCATCATGCCTTAAATTCTATCTTTTCTCTTCTACCTTTGTAACTATGTCTCTTAAAGGTAGTTCATTGTGATGCACGCCTTGGGTTTGTCACATCTTTAGTTTTTGTGTTTTTTGTTGGTGTTTTTGTCTCATCATGAATGTGTGCTATTGTTTTATGAATTGGAGAGGATTATAAAGCGAATGCAATTTGATAAGCACATATACTCTGCTTCGAAGCAAATTAGTGGTGTTGTTTCTCCAGGTAAGATTTTCTTATTTGAAAAAAAATATGCTCTTTGCTTAGTGACCGCCTAACTTCGATGAATTGACGGGATTAAAAATGCACACACTTATACCTAGGATTTCTGCTTTATTGAGTTCTCTAAAAGTTAATACCTTCATAATTGAAATATGATACCGAATTGAATTATAAAATAAACCTATGGCAATTTAATATCCTCTTAATAGCATGTGCTTTCTTTTTAGTCATTTCATATTAAGGACCTCGACCTTTGAAGCATGTATCTTTGATAATCCAATGATTGTGGGTTTTTAAGATTGTTGACTTTTTAAGGAAATGGCTATGGTTAGTAGTTGGGAATTGAGGCACTGGACAATGTTATGTTTTGTTCTTGCTTTGTTTTTGTCTTACTTATTTGAAATTTTTACAGGCTTGTATATTTATCTCAAAATCCTTTTAGTTTATTGATTAAGAATACATGTGGAAATGATCAATGCTTTTATTGTTTGCTGCATGTTATTATGCCATATTTCCTGCTTCATGCCTTGAATTCTATATTTTCTCTTCTACCTTTGTGGCTATGTCTCTTAAAGGCTATTCATTGTGATGCACACCTTAGATTTGTCACATCTTTAGTTTTTGTGTTTTTTGTTGGTGTTTTTGTCTCATCATGGATGGGTGCTACTGTTTTTTGGATTGGAGAGTGGATTATAAAGTGAATTCCATTGTTAAGCACATATACTTAGCTTCCAAGAAAATTAGTGCAACAGCTTCTCCAGGTAAGATTTGGTTTGTTTGTTTCTTATTTGAAAAAAAATATCCTCTTTGCTTAGTGACTGCCTAACTTTGATGAATTGACGGGATTCAAAATGTACACACTTATTATGCCTTTGGATTTCTGATTTATTGAGTTTTCCAAATGTTAATATGATCATAATGGGAATTTGATACTGGATTGAATTATAAAATAAACCTATGGCAATTAAATATCCTCTTAATAGCATGTGCTTGTTTTTTAGTGATTTCATATGAAGGACCTTTACCTTTGAAGCATGTATCTTTGATAATCCAGTGATTGTGGGTTTGCAAGATTGTTGACTTTTTTTAGGAAATGTTTTTAGGAAATGGCTATGGTTAGTAGCTTGGATTTGAGGCACTGGATATGCTTAGGTCTTGCTTTATTTTTGTCTTACTTATCTGAATTTTTTATAGGCTTGTACATTTATATCAAAATACTTTTAGTTTAATGATTAAGAATATATGTGAAAATGATCAATGCTTTTATTGTTTGATGCATGTTATTATTCCATATTTCCAGCTGCATGCATTGAATTCTATCTTTTCTCTTTTACCTTTGTAGCTATGTCTCTTAAAGGCAGTTCATTGTGATGCATGCATTGGTTTTGTCACATCTTTAGTTTTTGTGTTTTTTGTTGGTGTTTTTGTCTCATCATGGATAGGTGCTACAGTTTTTTGGATTGGAGAGTGGATTATAAAGCAAATGCCATTTGTTAAGCACACATACTCAGCCTCCAAACAATTAATGCCGCAATTTCTCTGGGTAAGATTTGCTTAGTCTTTTTTTAATTTGAAAAAAAAATATATCCACTTGCTTAGTGACTGCCTAACTTTGATGAATTGACGGGATTTAAATTGCACACATTTATACTGTAGAATTTCTGCTTTATTGAGTTCTCTAAACGTTGATACCTTCATAATGGGAATATAATACAGGATTGAACTATAAAATAAACCTATGGCAATTAAATATCCTCTTAATAGCATGTGCTTGTTTTTTAGTCATTTCATATTAAGGACCTTGATCTTTGAATCATATATCTTTGATAATTCAATGATTCTGAATTTGCAAGAGTGTTGACTTTTCTTAGGAAATGGCTATGGTTAGTAGCGAAGATTCGAGGCACTAGACAATGCTATGCTTTGTTTTTGTCTTACTTAGCTGAAGTTTTTATACTCTTGTATATTTATTTCAAAATCCATTTAGTTTAATGATTAAGAATACATGTCGAAATGATCAATGCTTTTATTGTTTGCTGCATGTTATCATGCCATATTTCCAGCTTCATGCTTTGAATTCTATTATTTCTCTTCTACCTCTGTAGCTATGTCTCTTAAAGGAAGTTAATTGTGATACACACCTTGGGTTTGTCACATCATTAGTTTTTGTGTTTTTTGTTGGTGCTTTTGGCTCATCATGGATGGGTGGTGCTACTGTTTTCTGGATTAGAGAATGGTTTGCAAGGCGAATACGATTTGTTAAACACATATACTCAACCTCCAACCAAATTAGTGCTACAGTTTCTCTAGCTAAGATTTGTTTAGTCTGTGTCTTATTTGAAAAAAAACATCCTCTTTGCTTACTGACTGCCTAACTTTGATGAATTGACGGGGTTCAGAATGCACACACTTATACTTTAGGATTTTTGCTTTATTGACTTCTCTAAAAGTTAATACCTTCATAATGGGAATATGACGCTAGATTGAACTTTAAAATAAACCTATGGCAATTAAATATCCTCTTAATAGCATGTGCTTGTTTTTTAGTCAATTCATATTAAGGACCTTGACTTTTGAATCATGTATCTTTGATAATCCAATGATTGTGGGTTTGTAAGATTCTTGACTTTGGAAATGTCAAAATGATCAAAATGATCAAAGCTTTTGTTGTTTGCTGCAAGTTATTATGCCATATTTCCAGCTTCATGCTTTGAATTCTATTATTTCTCTTCTACCTTTGTAGCTATGTCTCTTAAAGGAAGTTAATTGTGATACACACCTTGGGTTTGTCACATCATTAGTTTTTGTGTTTTTTGTTGGTGCTTTTGGCTAATCATGGATGGGTGGTGCTACTGTTTTCTGGATTGGAGAATGGTTTGCAAGGCGAATACGATTTGTTAAACACATATACTCAACCTCCAACCAAATTAGTGCTGCAGTTTCTCTAGCTAAGATTTGTTTAGTCTGTGTCTTATTTGAAAAAAAACATCCTCTTTGCTTACTGACTGCCTAACTTTGATGAATTGACGGGGTTCAGAATGCACACACTTATACCGTAGGATTTTTGCTTTATTGACTTCTCTAAAAGTTAATACCTTCATAATGGGAATATGACGCTAGATTGAACTTTAAAATAAACCTATGGCAATTAAATATCCTCTTAATAGCATGTGCTTGTTTTTTAGTCAATTCATATTAAGGACCTTGACTTTTGAATCATGTATCTTTGATAATCCAATGATTGTGGGTTTGTAAGATTCTTGACTTTGGAAATGGCTATGATTAGTTGTTGGGATTTGAGGCACTGGACAATCCGATGCTTTGTTCTTGCTTTGTTTTTCTCTTCTTTATTTGGAATTTTTATAAGCTTGTATATTTATTTCAAAACCCTTTTAGTTTAATCATTAAGAATACATGTGAATGATCAATGTTTTTATTTTTTGTTGCATGTTATTATGCTATATTTCCACCTTCATGCCTTGAATTCTATCTCTTCTCTTCTACCTTTGTAAATATCTCTTAAAGGTAGTTCATTGTGATTCACCCTTTGGGTTTGTCACATCTTTAGTTTTTGTGTTTTTTGTTGGTATTTTTATCTCATCATGTATGGGTGCTATTGTTTTCTGGATTGGATAGTAGATTGTAAAGCGAATGCAATTTGTTAAGCACATATACTAAGCCTCCAAGCAAATTAGTGTTCTAGTTTCTCAAGGTAAGGTTTGCTTTGTTTGTTTCTTTTTTTGAAAAAAAAAAATGTTCTTTACTTAGTGACTGCCTAAGTTTGATGAATTGACGAGATTCAACCCCGTAGGATTTCTGCTTCATTGGGTTCTCTAAAATTTAATACCTTCATAATGGGAATATTATATAGGATTGAACTATAAAATAAACCCATCGCAATTAAATATCTTCGTGTGCTTGTTTTTTAGTCATTTCATATCTTATAATCCAATGATTTTGGGTTTTCAAGATTGTTTACTTTTTTAAGGAAATGTCTATGGTTAGTAGCTGGGATTCGAGACATTGGACAATGCTATACTTTGTTCTTGCTTTGTTTTTGTCTTACTTATCTGAAATTTTGATAGGTCTGTATATTTATCTCAAAATTCTTTTATTTGAAAGATTAAGAATACATGTGGAAATGAACAATGTTTTTTAGTTTGCTGCATGTTATTATGTCCTATTTTCAGTTTCATGCCTTGAATTCTATCTTTTCTCTTCTACCTTGTAGTATGTCTCTTAAAGGCTGTTCATTTTGATGCACGCCTTGGGTTTGTCACATCTTTAGTTTTTTTTTTTTTTTGTTGGTGTTTTTGACTCATCATTGATGGGTGCTACTGTTTTTTGGATTGGAGAGTGGATTATAAAACGAATCGATTTGTTAAGTATATATAGTCAACTTCCAAGCAAATTAGTGCAGTAGCTTCTCCGGGTAAGATTTGCTTCGTCTGTTTCTTATTTGAAAAAAAATATCCTCTTTGCTTAGTGACTGCCTAACTTTGATGAATTGACGGAATTCAAAATACACACAATTATCCTGTAGGATTTCTACTTTATTGAGTTCCCTAAAATTTAATACCTTCATAATGGGATTATAATACAAGATTGAACTATAAAATAAACCCATGACAATTAAATATCCTCTTAATAGCTTGTGTTTGTTTTTTAGTCATTTCATATTGAGGACCTTGACCTTTGAAGCATGTATCTTTAATAATCCAATGATTGTGGGTTTGCAAGATTGTTGACTTTTTTAAGGAAATGGCTATGGTTAGTAGCTGGGATTTGAGGTAGACAATGCTATGGGTTGTTCTTGCTTTGTTTTTGTCTTACTTATCTAAAATTTTTATAGGCTTGTATATTTATCTAAAAATCCTTTTAGTTTAATGCTTCAGAATACTTGTGAAAATGATCAATGCTTTTATTGTTTGCTGCATTTTATTATGCCATATTTCCAGCTCATGTCTTAATTTTTATCTTTTCTCTTCTACCTTGTAGCTATGTCTCTTAAAGGCAGTTCATTGTGATGCACGCCTTGGGTTTTTCACATCTTTAGTTTGTGTTTTTTGTTGGTGTTTTTGTCTCGTCATGGATGTGTGCTACTGTTTTCTGGATTGGAGAGGATTATAAAACGAATGCTATTTGTTAAGCACATATACTCAGCCTCCAAGCAAATTAGTGGTGCAGTTTCTCTAGGTAAGATTTTCTTATTTGAGAAAATATATGCTCTTTGCTTAGTGATTGCCTAACTTTGATGAATGACGGGATTCAAAATGCACACACTTATATCCTAGGATTTCTGCTTTATTGAGTTCTCTAAAAGTTAATACCTTCATAATGAGAACTACTAAATAAACCCCCAGCAATTAAATATCCTCTTAATAGTATGTGCTTTATTTTTAGTCATTTCATATTAAGGACCTTGGCCTTTGAAGCATGTATATTTGATAATCCAATGATTGTGGGTTTTTAAGGCTGTTGACAATTTTTAGGAAATAGCTATGGTTAGCAGTTGGGATTTGAGGCACTGGACAATGTTATGCTTTATTCTTGTTTTGTTTTTGTCTTTACTTATATGAAATTTTTATAGGCTTGTATATTTATCTCAAAATCCTTTTGGTTTATTGATTAAGAATACATGTGGAATTGATCAATGCTTTTATTGTTTACTGTATGTTATTATGCCATATTTCCAGCTTCATGCTTTGAATTCTATTTTTTCTCTTCTACCTTTGTAGCTATGTCTCTTAAAGGCAGTTAATTGTGATGCACGCATTGGGTTTGTCACATCTTTAGTTTTTTGTGTTTTTTGATGTTGTTTTTGGCACCTCATGGATTGGTGCTACTGTTTTCTGGATTGGAGAGTGGATTGTAAAGCGAATGCCATTTGTTATGCTCATATACTCAGACTCTAAGCAATTTATTGCTGCAATTTCTGCGCGTAAGATTTGCTTAGCCTGTGTCTTATTCGAAAATAAATATCCTCTTTGCTTAGTGACTGCCTAACTTTTATGAATTGACTGGATTCAAAATACACATACTTATACTGTAGGATTTCTGCTTTATTGAGTTTTCTAAAAGTTAATACCTTCATAATGGGAATATGATACGGGATTGAACCATAAAATAAACCTATGGTAATTAAATATCCTCTTCATAGCACATGCTTGTTTTTTAGTCATTTCATATTTAGGACCTTGACTTTTGAAGCGTGTATCTTTGATAATGCAATGATTGTGGGTTTCCAAGATTGTTGACATTTTTTAGGAAATTGCTATGGTTAGTAGTTGGGATTTGAGGCACCGGACAATCCTATGCTTTGTTCTTGCTTTGTTTTTGTCTTATTTATCTGAAAATTTTATAGGCTTTTATATTTATCTCAAAATTCTTTAGTTTAATGATTAAGAATACATGTGGAAATGATCAGTGTTTTTATTATTGTTGCATGTTATTATGCCATATTTCCAGCTTCTTGCCTTGAATTCTATCTTTTCTCTTCTGCCTTTGTAACTGTCTCTTACAGGCGGTTCATTGTGATGCACCCTTTGGGTTTGTCACATCTTTAGTTTTTGTGTTTTTTGTTGGTGTTTTTGTGTCATCATAGATGGGTGTTACCGTTCTCTGGATTGGATAGTGGATTGTAAACGAATGCCATTTGTTAAGCACATATACTTAGCCTACAGGCAAATTAGTGTTGCAATTTCTCCAGGTAAGATTTGCTTACTCTGTTTCTTATTTGAAAAAAAAAAATTTCTTTGGTTAGTGACGGCCTAACTTTTATGAATTGACGGGATTCAAAATTCACACACTTATATCGTAGGATTTCTGCTTTATTGAGTTCTCTATAAGTTGATGCTTTCATAATGGGAACATGATACCGGATTGAATTATAAAATAAACCCATGGCAATTAAATATCCTCCTAACAGCATGTGCTTTATTTTTAGTCATTTCATATTAAGGTCCTTGACCTCTGAAGCAAGTATTTTTGATAATCAAATGATTGTGGGTTTGCAAGATTGTTGATTTTTATTTGGAAATGGCTATGGTTAGCAGTTGGTATTTGAGGCACTGGACAATGTTTTGTTTTGTTCTTACTTTGTTTTTGTCTTACTTATCTGAAATTTTTGTAGGCTTGTATATTTATCTCAAAATCCTTTTAGTTTAATGATTAAGAATACACGTGGAAATGATCAGTGCGTTTATTGTTTGTTGCGTGTTATTATGCCATATTTCCAGCTTCATGCCTTGAATTCTATCTTTTCTCTTTTACCTTTGTAGCTATGTCTCTTAAAGGCAGTTCATTGTGATGCTTGCCTTGGGTTTGTCACATCTTTAGTTTTTGTGTTTTTTGTTGGTGTTTTTGTCTCATCATGGATGGGTGCTATTGTTTTTTGGTTTGAAGAGTGGATTATAAAGCGAATGCCATTTGTTAAACACATATACTCAGCCTCCAAGCAAATTAGTGCAGCAATTTCTCCAGGTAAGATTTGCTCAATCTGTTTCTTATTTGAAAAAAAATATCCTCTTTGCTTAGTGATTGCATAACTTTGATGAATTGATGGGATTCATAATGCACATACTTATACCGTAGGATTTCAGCTTTATTGAGTTTTCTAAAAGTTAATACCTTAATAATGGGAAAATGATACAAGATTCTCTTAATAGCATGTGCTTGTTTTTTAATAATTTCATATTAAGGATCTTGACCATTGACACATATATCTTTGATAATCCAATGATTGTTGTTTTTCAAGATTGTTGATTTTTTTTAGGAAATAGCTATGGTTAGTAACTGGGATTTGAGGCACTAGAACATGTTATTGTTTGTTCTTGCTTTGTTTTTGTCTTACTTATTTGAAATTTTCATGGGCTTGTATATTTTATCTCTAAATCCTTTTAGTTTAATGATTAGGAATAAATGTTGAAGTGATCAATGCATTTATTGTTTGCTGCATGTTATTATGCCAAATTTCTAGCTTCATGCCTTGAATTCTATCTTTTCTCTTCTACCTTTGCAGCTATGTCTCTTAAAAGGCAGTTTATTGTTATGCACGCCTTGGGTTTGTCACATCTTTAATTTTTGTGTTTTTTGTTAGTGTTTTTGTCTCATCATGGATGGGTGCTACTGTTTTCTGGATTGGAGAGTGGATTATAAAGCAAATGCCATTTGTTAAGCACATGTACTCAGCCTCCAAACAAACTAGTGCTGCAGTTTCTCAAGGTAAGATTTGCTCAGTCTATTTCTTTTTTGAATAAAAAATATTCACTTTGCTTAGTGACTGCCTAACTTTGATGAATTGACACTATTCAAAATACACACACTTATACCGTATGATTTCTGCTTTATTGAGTTCTCTAAAAGTTAATACCTTCATAATGGGAATATGATACAGGATTGAACTATAAAATAAACCCATGGCAATTAAATATCCTCTTAATAGCATGTGCATGTTTTTTAGTCATGTCATATTAAGAACCTTGACCTTTGATAATCCAATGATTGTGGGTTTGCAAGATTGTTGACTTTTTTTAGGAAATGGCTATTGTTAGTAGTTGGTATTTGAGGCACTGGACAATCCTATGTTTTGTTCTTACTTTGTTTTTGTCTTACTTATCTGAAATTTTTATAGGCTTGTATTTTTATCTCAAAGTCCTTTTAGTTTAATGATTAAGAATACACGTGGAAATGATAAATGCGTTTATTGTTTGTTTCATGTTACTATGCCACATTTCCAGCTCCATGCCTTGAATTCTATATTTTCTCTTTCTACCTTTATGTCTGTTAAAGGCAGTTCATTGTGATACTCGCCTTGGGTTTGTCACATCTTTAGTTTGTGTTTTTTGTTGTTGTGCTTGTCTCATCATGTATGGGTGCTACTGTTTTTTGTTGTTGTGTTAAGCATTTATACTCAGCCTCCAAGCAAATTAGTGTTGCAGTTTCTCCAAGTATTTGCTTACTTTATTATTTCTTATTTGAAAAAAAAAATCTTTTTTGGTTAGTGACCGCCTAACTTTGATGAATTGACGGGATTCAAAATGCACACACACTTATACTGTAGGATTTCTGCTTTATTGAGTTCTATAAGTTAATGCTTTCATAATGGGTTGAAAGGATTGAACTATAAAATAGACCCATGGCAATTAAATCCTTGAAAGGATTGTTTTTTTCATGGAAACAAAAAGCTTTTGTGGTTGTATAATTGAAGATACTGAGGATGTGGATCTCTTTACAACATTGTTAGATGCCATGTATACGTTTGAATGACTTGAATTGTTTTTTTTTGGAACTATTTATTAATTTGGAAATCTCAGCATTTATATTTTTTCTTGCGTAGAATCTGATATTTCTATGCCTTTGGTCCGACAAGGCGGAGTAGAAACCAAAGTTATTGTCATTTGGACTGGGAGTCGGAGTCGGAGGAAAAAATTCATTTTGATTGAAATCAGATTCGAAGGTCGTATGTGTGCTTTTCGACTACATCGAGGTCGGAGCCCAGCCCTAAAGGAGAAGAAAAATTCTAAAAGAAGAAAAGGCTTCAACATGAAGTAGTTTACAAGAAGGAGACGAAAAAAAATAAAAATACAAGAAGAAGAAGATTACTTAAAAGAATAGCCAGATGACGACTACAAGAAGAAAAAGAATAAGAAGAACCAGACAATGACTATAAGAAGAAGAAAAAAAGAACAAGAAGACTACAAGAAGAAGGATATAAGAAAATTAATTTCTTTTTACTTATTTCTGTCTCTCTCCCTCCCTCCTGTTTCTCTATTCTTTATGTCTCTCGCTCCTACTTCTGCATCTGCATCTCTCTTCTCTTTGTTCCTCTCTCTGCCTTTTTTCTCTCCGTTTTTTTCTCTATCTCTCCCTCTCTATCATTCCTTTGATGGCGAAGAACACAAATGCAAAATTGGTAACAAAACTTAGATATCTAATTTGAAATCTCAGACCTTAGCGATGACCAATTTTCTTTTACTTATTTCTATGTTTCTCTACCTCTATTCTTCGTTCCTCAGTCTGCATCTCTCTCTCTCTCTCTCCCTCCCTCCCCTTCTATCTTTCTATTCTCTCTGTATCACATCTGCTTCTACCTGCCTCTTCTCTTTGTTCCTCTCTCTACTACCTCTCTTCTCAATTTTTCTCAGTGTTTCTCTCTCTTACTCTTTCGATGGTGAAGAACACGTGTGAAATTGGTGGCAAAACTTAAATATGAGATATGAGATCTCAAATCTCAACGAAAAACTTAGAGATCTCAAATCACAATGATGGAGGAGGTGCAAATCCCAAATCCAAGAATTTAGATCTCACCTGCGGTGGCCTTTCCAACAAATCTCAAATCCATGAAGTCACTCAGACAATAATTCTATCTTTTTCTCTCTTTTTGTCTATGTGTGTGTGTGATGGTATATTTATATTTCTACTATTATTTTTTTTTTGGATTGTGTACATTTCTGACTCGTTGCACTGTCTTTGCTCCGTCTCTGACAAGGCAATGTTGGAACTATGAGTTGTAGCCATTTGGAGTCGGAGTCGGAAGTCGTATATGTGCTTTTTGACTTTGTCAAATTCGGAGCCCAATCCTAAAGAAGAAGAAAAAAAAAAAAAAGACTCCAACATGAAGTAGCCTACAAGAAGAACAAAAAAAAAACAAGAAGAAAGAAGAAGACTACTAAAAAGAAGAACAAGCCGATGACTGCAAAAAGAATAAAAAAGAACAAGAAGAAAAAGAAGAAAAAGACAACAAGAAGAAGAAAACTATAAGATAAAGATATAAGAAAACTTCTTTTTACTTATGTCCATCTCTTTCTCTCTCTCTGCCTGAATTCTTCCTTTCTCTGCATCTCTCTCTTTCTGCCTCTCTCTTCTCTCTATTTCTCTCTCCTATACTTTAATATAAGATTTGAAATATCAGACCTCAGCGAAAAACTCAGAAATCTTAGATCTCAACAATGGAGGAGGTGCAAATCCTAGATCCAAGAACTCATATCTCAACTGCGATGGTCTTCCCTATAAATCTCAAATCCAAGAACTCACTCAAACAGTATTTCTCTCATTCTTTCTCTATAAATATATATGTATGCGTGTTTGATGGTATACGTATATTTTTTGTAGTATTTTTTTTGGGTTGTGTACATTTTCGACACGCTGCTATGCCTTTGCTCCATCCCGACAAGGAAGAGTCAAAACTGAAGTTATAGTATTTCAGAGCCAGAATCAGAGGGAAAAATTCATTCCGGTTGAAGTCGGAGTCGGAGGTCGTATATGTGCTTTTCCGACTTCGTCAAAGTCAAAGTCTAGCCATAAAAAAGAAGACTCCAACATGAAGTAGTCTACAAGGAGGAGAAGAAAAAAAAGAAAAATACAATAAGAAGACTATTAAGAAGAACAAGAAGATGATTACAAGAGGAAGAATAAGAACAAGAAGATGACTACAAGAAGAAGAATAAGAAGAACAAGACGATGACTACAAGAAGTAGAAGAAAAAAAAAATAAGAAGACTTCAAGAAGAAAAAAAAAAGGAAAAAGCAACAAGATGAAAACTACAAGAATGAGGATATAAGAAAACTAATTTTCTTTTACTTATTTCGATCTTCCTCTCTCTGCTTCTCTCTTTATTCCGTCTTATCTCTCGCTCCTTCTACTTATGTCTTTCTCTTCTCTCTCTTCCTCTCTATTTTTCTCTGTCTATCTCTTTCTCTCTTTCAATGGGAAGAACACACCCGTGAAATTGATAGCAAAACTCAAATATAAAATTTGAGATCTCAATGAAAAACTTAGAGATCCTAGATCTCAATGATAGAGGAGGTGCAAATCTCAGATCTCACCTGCAATGGTCTTTCTTGCAAATTTTAGATCCAAGAACTCACCCAGTATTTGTCTCTTTTTTTTTCTCTATATGTGTGTATGTCTGATGGTACATGTATATTCCTGATAGTTTTTATTTTTGGGTTGTGTACATTGTCAACACACTACTTTGTTTTCGCTCCATTTTTCGACAAGGCGAAGTCGAAACTGAAGTTATAGTTATTCTTCGTCGGAAGGAAAAATTTGTTCCGATTGAAATCAGATTCGGAGGTCGTATGTGTGGTTTTCAAGTTCGTCGAATTTGGAGCCCAGCCCTAAAGAAGAAGAAGATTCTGACATGAAGAAGTAGTCTACAAGAAGGAAAAGAAAAAAAATAAAAATATAACAAGAAGAGACTACTAAAAAGAAGAACAAGAAGACGACTAAAAGAAGAACAAGACGATGACTACAAGAAAAAGAATAAAAAAGAACAAGAAGACTCCAAGTAGAAGAAGATGAAAAAGAATTCAAGAATAAGGATATAAGAAAACTAATGTCCTTTTACTTCTTTTCGTCTCTCTTTGCATCTCTCAGTCTTTCCCCTTTTGCTTCTCTATTCTTCTACTTCATTATTCTCTCACTCCTTTTGCATCTCTCTACCTCTTTTCTCTCTCTTTTTTGCTCTTTTGATGGCGAAAGAACACACATGCGAAATTGGTGGCAAAACTCATATATGAGATTTGTGACTCAGATCTCAGCGAAAAACTCAAAGATATAAGATCTCAACAATGGAGGAGATGCAAATTCCAGATTCAAGAACTTTGATCTCACATGCGATGGTCTTTCCTACAAATCTCATATCCAGGAACTCATTTAGACAGTAATTCTCTCTCTCTCTCTCTATGTGTGTGTGTGTGTGTGATGGTATATATATTTCTGATAGGATTTTTATTTTTTGGGTTGTGTATAATTTTGACACGTTGCTTTGCCTTCACTCTATTTCCGACAAGGCGGAATCAGAACTAGAGTTATAGTCATTCGGAGTTAGAGTTGAAGGGAAAAATTTGTTATGATTGAAGTTCGAGTCAGAGATCGTATATGTGCTTTCCAAGTTCGTCGAAGTCGGAGCATAGCCTAAAGAAGAAGAAGAAGGCTAAAAGAAAAGAAGTAGCCTACAAGAAGAAAAAAAGAAAAGAAAAATAAAAGAAGAAGACTACTGAAGAGAAGGATAAGAAGATGACTATAAGAAGAAGAATAAGAAGAACAAGGCGATGACTATAAGAAGAAAAAGTCAACAACAAGAAGAAAACTACAAGAATAAAGATATAAGAATAATTTTTTTTACTTATTTTTGCATCTCTTTCTGTATCTCT